CCTTTTGAGTAAAATCACCAAATGTTAGGAAGCCAAGAAGACCAAAGAGTGCCTTAAAAATTGCAGCAATAATATGTGACCATCGAAGCATCCATTGAAATTTGCTTGGATCCTTAATTTATTTGTTATTAGCATTAAATCGGGTGGCAATGAAAATAAAAATTTAGTTTAAATTAAATAAAAATTTAGTTTAAATTTTATTTTTTCACAAAAAATTTGATGAAATTTATAAATGATAAATTTAAAATTAAATTTAATTTTAAAAATAAAAAACTTAATTTTTTAGCATATTATATTTAATAAAATACAAATGTTTGATTTAAAAATTAAATTTACAAACCTCCATTGATGCTTCTAATGATGGAAGAAAAATATGTGAAGTATAACCAAAAACAACCACACCAATTACCGTTGGCATAGTACGAATATCAAATGTAAATGGTACCTTATACCATACCCAATCCGATATCGTTAATTTTAAAAATTAAATTAAAAATAATCTTTTTAAGATTTAAATAGAACAAAAGAAAGTTGGATAGTTTCATAAACTTTAATAATTAAAAAAAATTAAAGTAATCTTGAAGTTTGAAAATTAAAAACGAAAAAGTATGTCGTTTTAAAATTTACTTTTATTTTACAAACTTTCATCAATTTTTATTTATTATTTAAAACAAAATTAGAATTTGTTTTATTGTATTTTGATTTTTATTTTTTATTTTTTTGATAACAAATAGCCAGAATTTTTAACACAATTAATTAATTCGAACAAAATAGTAAACAAATAAGAAAAAATACCAATATAAAATACAAACTGGAATCAATTCAGTATCAAATAATCAGAGAAAAAGAGAAAAAAAATTCGTCACACTGTTCGAATTTAACTGTCATTAAAATTTTAGAGTAATTATCATAATTTGCTAATAATTAATAAAATTATTTGATTTTATTAAAAGGAAAAAGAATTTTTATTTTGTCAAATTCATAATTTCTTTTTTTTGACAAATTATATCAAAAAAAAAAGCTTTTAATTTTCCAAATTTGTAATTTCTTTTTTTGATAAATTATATCAAAAAAAAGGATTTTTAATTTCTCAAATTTATAATTTCTCTTTTTTTATATAAATTTTTCAAATATACTCAAAAATACACTTACCTGAAATAAGCAATAAATGAATATGATAGCATTGATGATTAAATGGGAAATAGCATTTATTAGGCTCAAATTGCTTACTACTCGAATTGAGTCTAGAAATGCGCAACCAAGAAGCGCTGTTGTCACAAGCATCATTAAAGCAGATTTATCTATAAATTTTACAAATATTAATGAATATAAATGAACGAAGAAAAAAAAAAGAAGCATGCATAAAAATATAACTTTTCGTTTTAAATTTTAATTTAGTGGTTTTTTTTTTTCAAATCTAATTTTAATTCCAATTTTTTCTTACTTATTTTTTTATATTTTCAAAAATCAAAAAAGAAAAAAATAAAATTGAAATTAAATTTTTTTCAAAAAAATCATTGGATTTCTTTTTACTTTTTTAACCATTTTTGGTAACTTCTCAATTACACTTTTTTTTAACAATCATTAAATTATTGTATTTTTCAATATTTAAACATTTTTTTTAATTATTAAATGTTAGTATGATATCTTCAAATATATATAAATATACGGTATTATTTAAATTTTACTGAAATTTAATCCGAAAAAAAAGTTGTTTGAAGTTTATAAATCACCAAAAACATATTTACAATCATAATTTGGAATAACTTTTAATCGGCATTATTAATTAATAATGATTATATTTTTTAAATAATATATGTATTACGGTAACTTATTAGTTTAACTGATAATTTATCATTTATCTCATACCAAGTGATGATATGCAAACTTTAAAGTATATGCATGTTACGACAGCTTATTAGTTTAACTGATAATTTATTATTTATCACACCAAATGATGATATGTAAAAGGTATATGCATATTACGGTAGCTATTTTAACTGA